TCAGGCAAAAGAAAGGGAACATTTATTGTTGAAGAATATTATTTATGATGATTTGAAATCTCTGAAAATGCTGAAAGTATCTTTAGATACTTCTGAAGGGGAAATATGCAAAGAAATAGTCAATTTTATTGATAATAGACAACAAAGAGTTTTTGTTGTCATAGCCAATATGCAAGATTTAACAGTAGAAATGGTTAACTACTTGCGTTTAATGATTGAACAGAAAGAAAGCAAATCAATATATAGTGACAAAGTTTTTGCCCTTCTACTTAGTTTTCCTCAAGTTCAATTTTTCAATCGTTGTTACCCAACACTTTTTCTTCATGGATGGGATTATTTCTATTTGGATTCACTAACTACTGATATGGGAGTGGAAGGAATTTCTGAATCACTACGAAATGTAGTCAATATTAAACAATGTTTTCGTATTGCTTTAGGAATTCAAGAGGGTAATGATGTGCTAAGTCTTGATTTAGAGCCACTATTAGAAGTTGCTATACCTGTTGTTTCTGCAAGGGTCATTGTTGGTTCTAGTAATGGAGAGTATAATAAGGCCATATCAGTCAGTGCAAGACAAGTACAGATTAAAAAAATATTTTTCAAAGCACAAGAAAAACATGCCTGTACTCCAATTGGAGAGGCATTTTGTACCTTGTTTCGTGAGTATTGGGATAATAAAACTGTCATTAGATTTTTGCAAGATGCTGCTAATTTTACATTTCAGCATCAATCAACTCTCAGTATTACCAGTTATGTGCAAACAAGAATAAAAGCTCTGTTTTTTGAATTTTTAGTCTATATGTTATGGTTGATTAATCAAGATTGCAACTTAGACACTTTAGTGTCACGAATGAATACTGATTCGTATGAGATAGTCCAAAAAGTTTTTTCCAGTGTCATACAGACAATGTTTAAAAGGCTGCACAATTTACAAACATTATCATATGTTTGTCGAAATCTACGTCCACCAGAAGATAAAAAATTTCAATTTCCTTTCTTTAATTTGATTTATCATTATATGGAAGAATTAATTGATGTGTGCTATGGAATAATGAATAAAAAGAAACTTGATCCAAAAACCAGCATTAGTCCAAAAAAGACTAAAGAGTTTCTAGAACAGCAGATGTTAAATGAAATGAAGAACAAATTAAATCAACTGATTGAGGTAATGAAGCGTGAGAGGGCTGGGGAACATGAGACATATTTACAATTTTTTTAATATTAATAGAATTTTGCCTCAACTAATGCAAACAATTTGTGTGGACGAGATCAAGCAATGGCTTCTGTTATTTCATCATTACAAAATGGAGATCTTTGGCAGTGCTATTTCCATGACTTCATAAAGCTTAAGTGTGCTCAGTCTGATGACATACAGACAGTACTTCCAGAGGAAACTGTTATTGCACAGGTTTTGTCCATTTCTTTCAATTTTGAGCGACAAAAAGATAACTATATTTCTCGCTTAGCCTGGCTTCATGTTTGCTCTGAGATTTGTAAAACAGACTTAAATCAAACAATTGATAAACTAAAAAGGTTAAAAACTTTTATAGCACATCATCCCCAGGAGACAATAGCAACTGTTACACAAACTGTGGTCACCGGTTACAAAAATTTGGAGGCTCTTATTATTAAAAGGTGTTATACATCCTTGCATGACAGTGTTGATGATCAAGTTGCTCTGATACAGTGGTACAAGTTATACAAAGATATTGTAAGGATTTAAATATTTAATTAACGATTTAATTTATTTCTTTGTGTAGATTCAAATGGAGAGTCTTTACAATTCTCTTCATGACTTAGAGGATCCACAACTCAGATTTGATTTTTTTAAGGTTTATATTATGTACAGTCTCGTTCATAGTCACAGAGATCCTACATCAGCTGAATGTCTTGAATTATGTGTATTTCTTTACAGTGAAAAAATTAATCCAGTATATTTTACTATAAATTAGTATCTTATAATTATTTTCACTTTAGATATCAAATATTAGTGTAGAGTATGCTTTCTCAGAATGTTTATCAGCTATGAAAGCTTTGAACTGTAGCAAGTCATTCATCAGCTCAGTTGTTGACATGTTACTTAGCTTTATGTTTCATACTATTACACCAGCTGGTCAGTCCTGTTATTGCTGGTTTTTTAGTGCAGCATTACCAGAAAGTAAAGACCAATTGTTGCAGTACATCACTCCTGCTCAATACAAATTTTATCTTCTTTTGATTCTTAAACTAAACCAACTTAATGATGAAGATGAAAATGATGTGCTCAAAATATTCCAATCAGATGTAAATAATAATAATTATTATATTTTTTTAATTTTTGGTTTATATCTAGTTACGTAGAGAGATCATTTTTTTAATTAGAAGTTCAAAAATGAATTTAACAGAATCATTTATTTTTAGTCATGCTGTTGATTCAGAAAAGGTACATCTACAACTTACACTTGTATTAGATCTTTTTGTTTTTAGATGACACTGGCCAATGCATATATGCAAATTGTGTATCATCATCAAGCAATAAATTTTTCAAAGATTAAACTTAAAGTTGCTATTACAAAACTGAAATTGTTGATAGACAAAGTAATCGAGTTTCAGATTTTGATTCCTATAAAATTATGATTCAAACTATTTCTAGAGTCAAAGTTGTGAAGATCAATCAGAAAAAAGTTTGCTACAGTTAGAAACAGAAGCTTTTACACAAATATTCCTTCAAGTGATGGCTTACAATTTGGCTGATGTAGAAGGCTCTCAAATGGTTTGAATTTTACATAAATAAGTTTACCTTCTGATGGTTTATTTAGGTGCCTCGTCTTCCACCTCAAGTTGAAACTTATTTGGAAAGCAATGAAATGAATGGCTCAATATTTTGTATGCTTTTATGGAATAGACTGAAAAGTACTGAGAAGTTGAGAAGAACTTTGATTGCCTATTATGATGATAGATCTAAATTTACTTGTTTAAACAAATGCAAACAGATGGCTAAAGTATGATTTTACTAAAATTTTATTTATTAATTTTTGATAGGACGAGATGCAAGAAAGTGTAGAATTTTCTTTACCTGCATTAATTCAAAAGAAGACTGAAGTTAAAGAGTTGTACAGGAAGACATGTAAAGTATTACTGGATATTCATCAAAGGAAACAGACAAGTGATGGATTAAATAAATTAAAAGAAGAGTGGTTAGTTTAATATTACAATTTTAATCTTTTATGTGTATATCAAAGTGGTGTAGATCTAGAAGTGCAAGTAGAAATCTCAGTTAGTCAGGGTGAATCATTTAGAATTAAAAAAAGAAATGCACTTTGTATGTGTATTTGGCTTTGTTCATTCTATGAATTTTATCTTAAGAAGGTATAGGTCTATATACAATATATTGTTCTCAATAAAATGTATTTAAATTTTATGTAGGTTAAATCAGGACATCTTGCAAGTGCTGTACATTCTGAAATGGAAGACTATTTTTCAGAAGATTGTATTAGGCTAATCATATGTTTTATAAATAGCCAACTTATTACACCACAAAATGAACAGGATTTACCATCAGATCCCAATGCTCCATTGTTTGAAGTTCAAGGACATAGGATAGTACCAATACAGCGTCAAGGACATAGAAGTGACCCAATATACAAATTATTTTTTCCTGATAAACAAGGTTAGAGTAGAAGTTTAGTTATAATTGATTAGAGTAATTTTTAGATGATCAATCAAGACAAATATGTAATGCATTAGCAACTGTAACAGCTGCCATTCTAGCTTGTCCTGATCAATCGAATCATCTTTGGTATCATTTATTCTCTCCTGATAAATTATCAGGCACTCAAGTCACTGGATTCCTAGTAAGGCTCTTCTATGCACCGATATAATTTAGCTAACATTGATTACATGATATTTGCAGTTAAACTCAGCTATTAAAGAAGGAAGGTTGTATGACTGTGGTATAGTATTAGATGAAGAAGGAGAATATGGTAGACCAGAATACTTGCACAGAGCTGAAAAAGGAATGCTAACTTTGCACTCGCTTTATCTTCTTCTTTGGTGTAACTTCGGAACATTTTGTATGAATTTATTGACACAAAGAGATTCTAACATAAAAGGAACTGTAATATCATCGTACCAAGCTGTTCGTCATTATTGCAAGTCTCAATTAAGTTTAATGTGGTTACACATGACTACTAACATGGCACTAACTGATGAGCAATTGTCTTTGCTAATTGTATGCTCCATGAAGAGAATGATTCAAGTATGATTGAGCTTATTGACTCATAAGAAAATTTACCTGTATACAAATAGAATTCATATCAAAGACCAACAGGGCTATTACATGAATTAGAGAAGAGGGATGAGTATGAAAAAATGTGGCATGCTCAAATATTTGCTCCATCACTAAAAGAAGTTGAAAACAATGTAAGTATATTTTTATTGGAAACATTTATTAATAGAATACTCTATAATGATGATATTTTAATAGTTTGCAAGTTATTTATCTAAATTAAAAGCTGATGACCTTATAGCTAAATTAAACTTAAGGTAAAACAAGCTATATCATTTTAATTACAGTTTCGTTTATATCTACAGAGAGCTTAGCTGTAGTTACCCTCATGTGCCCACATTACAGCAGTTCACTCATTTTGTGCAAAGACACTGTGCTTCCTCTGAACAGAGAGGAAAATATGATGTTTTAGTAAAGCTAACAAATTCATATTCTCGTCTTCAGTCTTATAGTGCTTTATTACCATCTCTTATTGAGTTCTATCAGTGGATTGTCACTGACTTGTCTCATGATCTTACTCAAGAGGAAAGCACAAAAATGGGCATATGTAGTGCTGTGAAATATGCTTCAGAAAAATATTCAAAAGATGTGGAAAAGAATTACACTAAATTATTTGAAAGAGTACAAAGTATTTGATTGTTTATTTATACAAGTGATATTTATATTAAATTTTAGATGATTACAATGAATACTTGAAAGTGATTGACTTTTCAATCGGTGCTGGTGCTTGTGCCAATGTACAAAGAAAAAATTCAGTTCCATTAATGAATGATGCAACTGAAGTGTTTAAATTTTTACCAGGAGGGACAAGCGATGAGACAGAGGAACAAAGAGATTTTCTGTTCCTTGTAATTCAAGATATTGTGAGTATACTTAGTTTCTAATCGTTAACCTTTAATTTTATCACTTCTGTATTAATTTTATTAGTTTCAAATGAATTACTAACAATAAGTAATTATGTATTCCAATCCTTTTAAAATTTGCAGATTTAATTTTTTGCAGTTTTGACAGTTAAAAGACAGAATTGCAATGTAATACTATTCTCACTTTTTAGTAGACCTTTAACATGTGCTAGAGTCTAATTGAATGTCAATGCACCATGAGGCCTAATTTATTATTGTTTAATGTACTGGGGTCATAGTATATAATTTTTGTGAATTTAAACTTTTTGTGCTTTCTGCCAGTATAAAAATTTATGCTACTCAGTGACCTAAAGTCTAATTTTGTTTGTCTTAATAGGTTAATTTTCATAACAACTTTTTAAGAGAGATTAATGAACTGATTAAGCATAATGATACTCTCAAAAAGTATTTGTCTACACTTCCAGATGAAGAAAATGCAGAGTTTGCAATGCTTCGTGTGCATCCATTAGCTGTGAATGAATATTCATGTATATTAGGCCACAATGTATCAAACAGAAGGTACCAATGAACATTAGTGATTAAATTGATTACTGCAATTGCACACTCAATTCAGGTCACTGTTAGAGCTAGTACATAAACATCAAACTGAAACTGGATATGATTTAGATAAAATACAAGAAGAAATTGTTGTACATTTCATTGCTGGAAAACTTCCAATTGATGATTGCCAAACTAAGCTCAAGTTGCAATTTCACTACAAAGTAATGCACACTGAACAAAGCAAAATGCAACATCCAACTGAGTATGTTTTAAAATAATGTTAATATTTTGTTATTAAAATTTTATTCAAATAGACTAATGCTCACACTTGACCAGCTAAATGATGAAGATATGAAAGTATAAAATGCAATCATTTTTATGCTTTAAATTTATAATTGTGACTTAGAAATCAATACCTCAAGATGAAGGCTTTTTGACAGCTCTGAAGAATGAGTTGTACACTCTTGATTATGATAAACTTGTAGAAGTGGCTCATTGTTTAAAAACTATTGCTGAACACATCATTAAAGTATGGTTTTTTTTACAATAAATTACTTTATTAATTATCAACAGAAAATTGAAGAGGGTCAAATTCTTAAAAATGACATTATTGATCAAAATGTGGGAGATGTTTTACCAAAAATAGTTTATGATCAAGAGGATCAGCATGATTTATTGAAGGTTTTTGATGACCTTGGAATGAACAAGTAAGTATATCATTAAATGAATGACATTCATCCCAGTTTATAGACTTCAAAATATTCATCGTGTACGTATTGTAGCCATACCTATGAAGCATTTATTGACAACATTGCAAGTTATTGTAGAGTGGATTAAAGATGGAATATATGATTTCCATACTTTACCAAAAGCAATGAAAGTACCATTGAAAAAAGAAGATGAAGAAAAAATATTTGCTATTCAGAAAGATTTCAAACAAAGTATAAAAATTTAAAAAAACAAGATGAAGTAGGATTCCGAACGACCAACGAAAATACGAAATGAAAATCCTACTCTCGTGACGCAAATTCTACTCTAAATTGTACTTTCAACGTTATTATGTAAGAATTACGGATCACCTTGCAATGTAGAGTAGAATTTGCGTCACGAGAGTAGGATTTTCATTTCGTATTTTCG